TTAAAAGGTATATTTGTGTGTCAAAAGAAGTATGCAAATGAAGTGCTAATGAAGTTCAATATGGACAATTGTAAATCAGTTGATATTCCACTGATTCCTAACCAAAAGCTGAGCAAGGAAGATGGTGCCAAGAGGGTGGATGAAGGAGTCTATAGAAGCTTGATAGGATGCTTGTTGTACTTGATAGCAACCAGGCCTGATTTGATGTACACCACCAGCATCGTGTCCAGATTCATGAGCAAGCCAAGTGAGATGCATTACAAGGCTGCAAAGTGGGTGCTACGGTACATTAAGGGGACCACTGAGTTAGGAATTTGGTTCAGAAGAGCTGAAAAATTTAGCCTAATTGGGTATTTAGACAGTGACTGGGCAGGGTCAGTTGATGATATGAGAAACACTTCTGGATATATTTTCTTTGTTAACCATGATGCCTTCAGTTAGCTTTCCAAAAATCAAGACACAATAGCTCAATCTACTGCTGAGGCAGAATACATTTCTGCCACAGTTGCTACAAACCAGGCAGTCTAGTTGAGAAAAATTCTGGGAGACTTGAGGCTGAATCAAGATGAGTCTACCACCATTTATTGTGATAACATGTTAGCTGTTGCAATTGCTAAGAATCATATTCTCCATGGTCGAAATAAACACATCAAAATTAAATACCATGTTGTGAGAGAGGCAGAGCAAAACAAAGAAATCAGCTTGGTTCATTGTTTGAGAGAGAACCAAGTTGCTGATATCATGACCAAGGAATTGAATAAGTCCAAGTTTGTAGAATTCAGACTCAAACTTGGAGTTTCTAGCATGAATATCAAGGAGGAGTGTTGATCAAGATGATATTATGCTGGAAACTCATGAAGTTGGTCACATTTTTGTAATACTGGAGCTGCATATTCTGGTGGCAAAACTGGAGTTCTGTTGTTGCTAGTTTCTACTGTAATGCATCAGCATTTCTTAATTATTATAATGTACACCTCAGGTGAATTCAGTTAAAAATCTGATGTTGATTAGGTGTTAATGTAATGTGATATGTTTGTAGTAGTTAGTAAAGTATGGCTGTTTAATTTTGATTGTAAGCCTGCTGCAGAGTAGGGTGTAATAGCAGTGCAAACCATGTATTTTATTCTGTATTTTGTTCAATGTAACATTACAATTCCCGCATGCAATGTTTTGAGTGTGTGCGCCAACATAACAGTAGTGTTTTCCTCAGAGTTCTCCTGCTCTAAAACCATCAGTTTCATCAAATAATTATAAATAGTACTTGTTTATTTAATAATAAAATTATTGGTGGAGCCAATCCAACTTATCCTAGATACATATGCACGATATTACACAGTAGGTGACAATAACACAAATTGACAATCATAATTGTCCGATACTAAGAGCCAGACCCCGTTAATTCATGTGATTTTACTGTACCTACTGTCGACTCGTCATTAAACTCATTTCAAGATAATCAGAAGTCAGAGGCCTAAACACATCAGATGCTTCCTTCTCAATCATCTCTATTTGCTTCTTCAATAGGTGTAAATACACCACCCAGTCACCGTTCCCTAATTGACTCGGCATCGGCATCACATACCCCGCATCACCACCCCATGGGAAATGATATGACCCGAATGCTGGTTTGCCCCAACCGAAATCCACTTTTGAAACTGGAAATCTCTGCCCTGATGACACCACAAAAGCCGGTCCATTGGCACTTCCGTTTATGTATATCTTAGCCACAGCTGGTTGGGGTCTATGTGCCTCAACCCAATCAATCAGTCCCAGGAAATTATCTTGTGTCACTGCTTTTTCCAAAAAAGCATGAACTTGATTTGCCACGCAAGATAAAGGTTTTTCCATAAGTTGAATGATTTTTTGTCCGCCAAAAGGGATTGATAATACATTTCCAAAGTATGCACCCATTAGTCTTGATTTGTAACTATCTCCTTGGCTTAACCTAATTCTTCCATCAACAACAATCCCCATTTTTGATGTCTTATCATTGTCTGTAGCGCCACACTGCGCTACCATTTTCCATAAAAATGCACTGAAAGACTCGAGTTTTGTCCTCCTGCATCCTTTGGGGCTAGCGAGTGATTGAAGCTCATTGAGTTGGTCTTTTGTAACATAATATATGCGACTTATGAGATGATCATGAGTAGCTTCAACAGCTTCTTTAGGAGTTGGAGGTGGTGAGAATGGCACGTACATGTCACCTAAAGCAGGGTCAACGCATCCAGGCCGTCTAGGATTTAGCAGAGATCGACGAAAAGATGGTAGCAAAGAAATTGGTCTGGACTGAGCTAATTCAGCCCATGAAACAAGAAATATATTGATGGAGTATGCGTCTGCTATTCGGTGGTCGAAGGTGCACGCACCACAAGACCGCCGCAATTGAGTTCAGTTGCCTGTAAATCAAATTCATATAATATTATATTTGATTACATACATACACTGATCATTAAGGGAATTCTAATCTTTGAAGCCTATGTAGAAAAATTTAACTGCCATCAACTGCCTCACTTTTGATTTACCTAAGACAATAACACTTACTGATGTCCCCCAGATTCCCTTAGCTCCCTAAATTACGTGTCAAAATGATTTTAGATTAAAATATAATATCAAAAAGGTTCTTGGAATACATTCATTCGATATCTTGTTTCCAATCGATATCTCGCAGGAGGTGATGGAAATTAAAAAAAAAAACATTAAATTAATGTACGCATGTCATGTTCTCCTGCATGGGTGGTTTTGTTATATTTCTTGTAAAAATTAGGTCACATATATTATCATGTACATATATTTTAAGAAAACAAATTACTAAATCTCATACGGTATGATATCAAAACCATGTTCATGTAGTTGTTTGATGCATTAATCCAAATTAAGAAGCAAAAAAACTTTGAGGGATGAACGATAAGTGACCTGAATAGAGAGCACTCCATTCTTCTTGTTAGGCACGAGCTTGCCTTCAATACTTTCGTCAGGGTTATACAAGTTGAGTTCACTCAACTCGACGTTCGCAAATGCTTCAACAAAGTCCACTCCACGGTTGTTGCAAAGGAGCTCAGGCTCACCAACAGGGTTGGGTACGACCTCACCGGCGAGGGCGTAGTATGACACTAGCGTTTGAGCCAGGGCCCTCTTTAGAATAGCAACCATGGAGGCAAAAGTCATGCTTTGAAGTGACGGGTTATGGTAGCAAAAGAACACACTAACGTCAATCGGTGGCAGCAGCAAGTCGAGGTTGGAGAATGGAAGCCAATGATCTTGCAATGGTAGCACTGCTGCCACCACCTCCTTCTTGCTTACAGTCACCGTGAAATCTCCTCCTGCAACCATCGTTTGTTTCTTTCTCTCTTTTGCCCCTTCTTTTAACGAAGATGAGTTTGTGAAGAAGCAGGAGGGGAAGGGCATAGATTATATAGGCAAAATGTAGAAAATTTAATAGTAATTTACCAGAAATGACAATTTTGACCTCTTACACTTAGCCCATATTAATATTTTTATACTTAAGGAATTACTATGTTAAGGGTATATCAGTCTTTAAGTAATCATTCTTTTAAGGATAAAAATATTGTTCTAAATTCACTGGTAAATTTAGGTGAAACAACTTCCCATGAAATGTGGTTTACAAGGTTCTGGTTTGGTTTATATTTAATGTGTATTTCAAATAAACTTTTAAGTATCCAGAAAATATTTTTAGGGTAGGCCAAAATTCAAAAATTATATATTAGTATTTAAAAAAAAAATTTGAGGGTAGGCCAAAGTGGGCTGGATCCGCCCCTGTATGTTTATATTATTAAATGAATAGGTCAAATTTCCTTTAGCTATATGGCGAATGGCAGGGCTGGAAATTTCTTGAAATTTGAAAAGATATTTTAACTTAGCCATGGCCTTGATATATATACATGTAAAAATCGATATTTATTAAGGACAAGTAAGAAAAGGAAAGAAAGGAAACTACAATGCAATGAAATCCACACCAAAGCTTATCAGTCTTTGCTATAAAGAGATTGAGTAGTTCGATAGGGACTCTTAGGTGTTTTATTTAAGAGATCTTGAGTTCGAATTCTTTTTCGAATATTAATAAGGGTAGCTATTGGAGTTCTTACCCAATCGATAGTTTCAAGGTCTTGAAGGATTAATTGACTTACGTCTAAGTTGATTCAGATAACCCCGATCATAAATAAATAAATAAAATATATATATTGTATATTTAACATGTTAAAGTAATGGTAATTAAGTTATGCGACATTGACAAACTTTCATCAATTTGCTAATTCAAATTGTCTATTATTATCAGAAGCAAACAAGGCAACGAAAGAGAACCTAGCTGTGTTTCCCATGATACTTCACTTCGACTTTACAGTGTTTCTTAATATGACAAAGTGAAGCCTATTGTTCTTGTACAGCCACGTGAAACATCTTGTTGGTTGGTGGAGGCGGCCATCTCAATTATTTTTCTCTAAAACCCACCAAATGTATGGCACAATCACACACAAACATGTGATCATTTCGGCAGTTTGTTTGTACGCCCATTCTGCTTCCCTCCGTCGATTTTTATAGGCCCGCACTGGGTTCATTATATTTTCAAGAGGGTTTATTCTGAACATAATCCTTTTGTGCTCTCCGGGAATCTTAGGTTTTCTTTTTGCTTCATAAAGAAATAAAAAGACTTTGTAACTGAATACCAACAAAAACAATCCAACCTTTTGACAAAGAGATTCAATTACTGGGGATCTGCACGAGAATCCCATTGAATTCATTAGATTAGCCTTCAATTTCAACAGTTTGGTGAGAAATGATATAATGTTTGAAATTAGAGCTTAACTCCACATAAGTTTACTTGCATTAAATAATATTTTAGTAGCAATGCGAGCATCTTACACGGTTGATTCAACCACCTGACCTGTTCAATTTGAGATACTTTCTTATCTTAACCAGAGAAGCGCAAAAATTTAAAAAAAAAAAAAAAAAGACTTGTAACTAAGTACCAACTATCAAAACTTTGGCAAGAATATTCCATTAACTCCAACATCCCTGCAACAACCTAATAAAATTCATCTCCAACATGTACCCGAAGTTCACTCACATTAAGTAAACTTTCATACACAATGATGTCAACAATGGGAGTTCTGTTTCAGAGAAGCAGTAAAAGGCAATGTTAAGCATGAGTAATCCGAGTAACTAATTTTACACATCAATTGAAGTGTTCGCCTTTCTAGGAGGAAGCACAATGTTTTTGTTGCCAGGGAAGGCATCACGAGAGATGTCTACAAGGGCCTTGAAACTATAAGGTTCGTGCATCGACAGTTCTGACAGAACTTTCCTGTTCAGTTGGACGTTCTCCTTCATCAGCCCATGCATAAAGTTACCATAGTTAACCTGGTTAACAAACATGATACAGGAAAAATGAGAAATTATGTAAGTTCGTAGCCCTCAAGTAACATCACAAAAGAAAGCCTAAATGTGTCTGCCTACATCAGAGTGGATAAAGGTAATGAGATGGGGAATACCATAATCAGCATTTCTACTAACATTAGAGGCGGAGTAACAGTAAACTCCTAAAGTAACTAGACAGTATTTGCGCTACCAAGATTTGACTGTATTTTCTCCAAGGCTCTGCCTATTCAGCCTTCACCCCGTTACAACAAATATACACTGTTGATATATAAGGTACATAACACACAATAGGCACTATGAGCTCCCTAGATTTATAATTTTTCCCCAACAAAATAACAGTCAGATTCCTCCATTTTTACTTAGGATTATCTGACAGCATGCTATTCTCAGCTGAAACAACTTCTGGACTTTAATACTTCTAGACCCAGAACAGAAAAATGTTAACACTAAACTTCAATGAACAATCCAATTTGAGGTTTAGTTTTCTTAAAGGTCCTTTAAGGTTCTGGTCGAGTAAGACAACTAATGATTATAAAATTTTGTCAGTATGTTCAATATTCAAGGTTTTAATACATTGTCTCTTCATTTTCTCTTTTTATTTTCTGCAAAATATGTAATTTTTTGTCTTGAGTGGTTTTATTGAATAGAAATCAAACCAGGGAGAATATTTTTCCTTTTTTCTTCAAGTGAAGAGATGATTGAATAACTTAAAAGTGTTCCATAACTAAGTAAAAACTTTACTAGACTTTTCCACCTTTTATAATCATAAATTCAATATCTGAGTTTAAAACTGTCATCCACTCCTGCAAGCAAAACACTAGTTTCATCAAATATTTATGATATATTGAGCTACATAATGTCTACTATAAGGTATCAAGTTAAGTGGCTTCACACCAGTCAATTTTAAGACAACAGTACACTGGGAATTGTAAACTATTTCTATAAGATGATTTACACAAATGTTTGAAAGATATAAGAGTTAAAATCTTCCAAATTCACTGACCTTATTTATCTATTATATTAACAATAGTGTTTCTCGACTAGGATGTAACTTCCAGATCATGTTTAAAGATTGAGACAGCTATAAGAACAAAGCTTTAGTGAAAAAAAGGGGCTTGATATAGGATTAATGCCACAACAAATTATTTACATCACAGAACACAAAATTCTATTAATTTCAGAATCAAACACTAAGCAAGACTGCATAGCAATTCCAGCTTAAATTTTGCAGCAAAATCACTGACAGATGCTAAACTCAACTAAAATAGACACCAAGAGAATTAATCACTTTTTGCATCCAGCCTGTCTAGGATGATGTCTATGGCATTCTTACCATATGTTTACTTTTCAGGTTAAACCTTTGACCCATCAGGTGTGCCTACGGCACTTGTTCTAAAAAGACTAAGATACATTTTCTTTTTGGTCTGAAAGTCATTAAGAGAGTTTGGTTCACGATCTAGAGACTATTTTAAAAAACTAGGATAAAACCAAGTCATTTTTATACATAATTTTAATACAATCTCACAAAAACAAGAAAAGAAACTTTCAATTATTTTTAGTTTTTAAACTAGGTTTAAGTATTGCATCAAGTAGCTTTCAATCTCCCAACCAAACATCTTTTCTTAAAGAGTTTTAATATCCCTTCTTTTGAAAGCAAACAATTATATCAAATATACAAATGAAACAGACACTAAGGCGTTTTGGTATTTTTTTTCATTAATTCTAAATTCAAGACTTTTTTGTATGAGCAGAAAAGGCCAATTTTATGGCTTTTATCTAAATCGGAATTGGTTATTTTACCAAACAAAGCAAATTCCACTACATACACTTCTCCATGTTCTTTCACCAAAACCTGACCACTCCCCAACTACCACCACCACCACTAATAACAACAAAGACAACAAGCTAGAAGTTTTACTTCATCAATCTCATTTCCAACCCACCATCATCACCAAAACATGAGATATTCTGCGTACTGGCAATTATTACATTGAGTAGGTAGAATAAGATTTAGTTTTTTTTTTTTTTTTTTTTTTTTCAATAAGAAATCATAAATTTTGTATTAAATTAGTAAAAGGTAAGAAAACATAATGGTGGATCAGGTATCCACAAAAGAATAAAAAAAACCTGTAGAGGGGAAACAAATCCACACTTGTTTGCAGTGTGTAATCATCCCTCTATTATACAAAATAGAACACAAACTATATAAAATTATTTCCAATTGAGATGAATAAAGAAAAAGGAACTATCTTGAAATTCAGCATCGACGCCCAAAGTGAAGAAAAAAGGTAAACCCTGCCCTATAAATCGCTTCACACCACAAATCTAATTGTTTCTCTTTAGACAAATCAACCAAAAGAAGAACTGAAAAAACACATCTCCTGCTTTGGCTTTCATGCCTCTTGTAGAGGCTACTACATTGTCACAAGAAATGGTTCACTGGATAACCGAACAAGCTGTTGTAACAAACTTGAACCATCAAACAGTGAAAGAAAAGGTGATTAGAGGTCCCAAAACTTCTTCAACACATTACAGACCAAGAGGGAGAAAGATTCATCAAAGAACAAACTTGAACCATCAAACAGTGAAAGAAAAGGTGATTAGAGGTCCCAAAACTTCTTCAACACATTACAGACCAAGAGGGAGAAAGATTCATCAAAGAACAAACTTGAACCATCAAACAGTGAAAGAAAAGGTGATTAGAGGTCCCAAAACTTCTTCAACACATTACAGACCAAGAGGGAGAAAGATTCATCAAAGAACAAACTTGAACCATCAAACAGTGAAAGAAAAGGTGATTAGAGGTCCCAAAACTTCTTCAACACATTACAGACCAAGAGGGAGAAAGATTCATCAAAGAATATTTTCTTTGGATTCCTTCCAGCATTGATTTTACCTTGAGCTAAATACACAGAAAGACTTCTTTGGAAAGAATTTTAGCCTTCCAAATCATCAAGGTTTGAAATCACCAAAGGGGAGATCACTAACATCAGTTAAGATAAGATTTAATAGAAAAAATTGCCAGAGGCCTCTAAATCCACAATCTTTCATCTTTATTTATTTCATCGATTGTCACATCTTCAACCACCTTCATAAGCATTATATGTTCATGAATTTCCTTTCCATTCTTCCAAATTTTGGGAACGAGGAGAAATACCACAGTAGAAGAATTAAAAGGACTGAAGTGGACTAACTGAATACCTCAATCAAAATAGACATGAATATCTTACAAAAAGCACAAACAAAAAATCATCAGTAGATGCCACAAATGAACCCTTTTACCCTTTCCTTAATATTAAAAATTACTAATCAGTAGTAATAGTAATGCCATGTTACTTAAAACAAAATTTATCAAGTTGACTCTAACTAGACGGGGTAAAGGAAGTAGATAAAGAGAAACAAGCTGGGAGTCGCTCTGAGCTAAACACATAAGTTAGTGAATCCTAAGATAATTTTTAGTTCTTCTTGAAGTGTGTGATCATGGGTAGTGTCGAATGAGCTCAAATAAAAAATTCAATAAGCAGAATAATGTAAAATAGAATAGGAAAGAAATAGAAGACTGACGCCGTGTTGACGAGTGCCAGCATTGATGCGTTGAATCCAAAGGGAGCGCATGTCTCGCTTCTTGGTGCGTCTGTCTCTGTAGGAATATTGCAAGGCCTTCTCAACTCTTTCTCTGGCTATTCTTATGCAGTTTTTGGCTCTTCCCCTGAACCCTTTTGCCAGTTTGAATATCTCCTTCTTGTTCATCTTTTCTTTCCTTCTTTGATTCTCTTCTCTTGCTTTCTGTTTTGCCTCTGCCTGCGTATTCTGTCTAGTCCTTGGGGCTTAAACCCTCGTCTTCATATATTTTCTTTCTCATTTCTGCCCTTTCTTTTTACTACACTTTTTTTGACCACGTTATTTCATCATAATTTCACATTTACCCAAACATATTCATCAAATTTTATTAACACCCAAATTAATATCTAATCCAAGGATAGATCATCGTTATACATAGGATTTATTATAGTCACTCTTGAGGTTTGGTGTGAAGAACTATTTCCCCAAATTTTTGAAAATTAGCACCTCCCCTAAGATTTTAGTTTTAGTCACTCACACCTCAAAGGTATGAAAAATTAACCCTGACCTCCTTCCACATTTGGCGAATTATCCAACACCTTTACTTATTGGTCTTGATTGTTAAATTTCTTCTGTATGGTTTATTTCATTTTAGTCTTATGAGATTGATTAATATCAAATCCATCCATTGTATTTCAAAAGTATTAAAACACTCATACCGGTTAAAGATATGTTAGGATTCCATGCAATTTTAAAATTAAAAGTCTATTTTATCTCTTCCCATCACTTACCAACTTCAAAAATAAATTTTTATTCCTCTTACTTTATTGTTTTTATAAAAACATTAAAATGTTAAAATAGTTTCCGCATAATTTTCCATTTATTTATGACTTATTATAATTATCTTTTAAGGGAAATTGAAATACTTAATTTTACCATAATTCATTTTTTAATATATTGTTTTTCACCAAATGTTTGTTTAAATGTGTTATATGAATGTGTAACCTTCCCTAGGAAAATATAATTATTTAATTATAAAATCAAAGTCAATTTCGTGGATTTAGATATTTATCGAGTTAAGGATTTAAGAAATTTGTTGTGTTAGTAAGTGACAAAATGGTAAAATAGACTTTTAATTTAAAAATTGGATGGAGCCATAACAAATCATTGACAATAAGGGTACTTTTAATACTTTTAAAACAAAGTGGATGAGTATGATATTAATTGATCTTATAAGTGGTCAACATAGATCGAACAAAAGAAACCCATCAATTAAGACCAGTAAAGAAAGGTATCGGATAATTTATCAAGTATGAAAAAGCTAAATTTTCATACCTTTGAAGTGTGAGTGATTAAAACTGAAATTTCAGGGAAGGTGTGGGAACATTTATATATGAAACCTTAGGGGTAGTGATAGTATAGTTAACGTTATACGTAAAAGAAACTTGCCTTCTCTAACTATCTCCAAATAGTTGAGCGATTTATAGAGACTCTTGGGTGTATCACTCAAGAGGTCCTGAGTTTTAGTCTCTCCTCGATTGCTAATAGGGTAGCCAACGGAATCTTACCCGTCGGTAGTTCTAAAGTTCAGAGATTATGAAGTACACGTAAGTAGACCCAATATTGACTGGTTTTTATTAATGTTGCCTGAGTTGAGCAAGGATACAACACATCTAATCTACATGCGTCGAAACAGCAAAGATATATCAAACACGTGTCTATTGCCAGACTAAACATATCCTATTTCCCAATTCACAATTTCTCTTCTTTGGATACAAACAAATCCTATATAATTAAGTGGTGCTCAGCCTCTGGTTATCCCACACTGTCCCTTTCAACCAGAATTAGACAGAATATTTTAGAAATATGGGTATTAAAGATGAAATGAGTACCACTACTAGCACCAAAGATGATATTGCCCGAGTGGGGGTGGGACAAGGAGAGCTATACTCTCCTCACCATGCAGTTGAAATCAACAAAAGCTCAACAAAGCTAGAAGACCAACAAGGAGAAGAGCAGAAAATGGTGATGGGAGTGGCAGCCGATAATATTAGGAGGAATTTTGCAACGATTAAGGAAAGAGTGTTGGATAAGCTGAGAGCAGCTGCTGTTCCAGCTGATGCTTTGGAGAATGCCCGCCACTTCTTGGAGAGTGTGGTGAGAGATGTGGGTGTTGCTGCTCATGGCCTCACCAAGGACGCCTTGCTTCGCATCAAGACTCATCTTGTTGACTTGCTCCCTTCACTCTCTCCAAACATCACTAGAAAGGTTCATCTCTTTCTTAACATTTAGTATATCAAGCTGATTTCAATAATCTATTCATTGATGTTACAAGCACCATATTACATCATGCCAGAAATGTAAGATTACAATTACACAAAGTTGATTGATGTTCATGGATTATGGATATAATACATGCATATTGAAATATTTCAGCCCTTTTGCTGCATTAATTCCACATTCACCTTGTTAGTTGCTGCTCATCGTTAGCTTCAGGTCATTTCATTCTTAACCCAGTAAACAGTCATACAATTGACTTGAATCCAGGAAATCAACAGTTTTCTTCGTGCACTAAATGGTTTGAAACGAGGGGTTGAATGGATAGCAGTCAATACATGTATATCCTTGAATACATTGTTTTAACTTCCTTCTGTTAGTTATGCTGTCGTGGGCACTGTCTAATAGTATGTTTATCAAAATAATTTTTGATTTTTGATTAAAGTAATGATAGTATTGATTCTCAAACATATTCAATAATAATTATTTGAGCAGATGGTAGATGATGCAGAGGAGGAGGCAAATGGAAAGGGAGACAGTGAAGGAGAAGAGAGAAGAGAGGACACTAATGGGCAAAAGCAAGATGGCCATGATCATCAACCTAGCAGCAAGGCTCTACAGCAATCACGGCTTTAGAAGTTCATATATGTAGACAAGAACCTCAGTCAATAGTTACCTTTTTCATATATTTCCTTGGGGTTGGGACTGGTGACTTCAGCGTCTCATTAAGCAGTTTTCCAGTTGGTGTAACTTGTTAATAATCTGGTTAGTTTGATCTCTAAAATAACATAATGCATAAAAATTTCGGGAAGAAGCGCCATGTTTATTGGCAGTTGTTTCATCCTCTTGGTTTGTAGAGAAAAGTACACAATCTATATAAGAAATTGAACTTTCTTCAATAGAGAGAAAAGCATTACAAAAAGTGTATATATTCATATACATATATGCATAAAGCTCTTCTACGAGTTACAATCCACTTTCAGAGAAGAAAGCTTAAAGCAATAAATTTTACTGTATTGTCAATGAAGAATTTATATACAATTCAAGGACCATCATCTCCATCTCCAATCAGATTACATATTTCTGAACATTCCACCAAACTGCACAACAACATATGCAATTGATAAGACATGTATAAATTCATGTCTTCCCTATCCAGGAAGAACTACTTCTTAAGCTGAAATAGTTTAGTAATTCCTCCTTAAGTGATATAGCTTAACTGAAGCTGGATCAAAGTTAAAACATTTGCAGAAACATCAAATGGTTGATGAGGATAACAATAACAATTAACATCCCAGAGGGCTAATTGAGTGATCACAGTACTTAACACAGTAAGAGCAAATATTAGTGTACATTAAGAAGGAACTGGTATACTTTTCTTTTGATTTCTAATCCTAAAGCTTTTTTCTGTTTAATAAAATCAATTAAAACCTTAAATTATTAGGTTAAAAGCTATAAACAAACCTAAAATTTAGCTAATGTATGATTAACTAAAAATTTGTGCTATCTGAAGAAAATGTTTACCAATATCGACGGCTTCGAAACCCTTCCTTGAAAACAACCAAAGGTCTGCAAAAATCGCAGAAAGAATATCAATTTTTATCTTTGAAATAAGATGTTAATAACAAATTCAAATGATTTTCAGCCTGTAATTCTGTTTATTCTTTTCTCCATGTTTAGCAAAGCCAGACTCATTTCACATCTAAGATGCAAAAGATATAATATTAAAAATGAAAGCATGGGTATTGTTCAATGTAAAAACCATCAGAGGTCACTGGTGGTCTTTCCTCTGTGACTGTCCCAACAGAACAATTCAGGAAATCTCAAATCTGGTTTATATTTTGATGACAACCAGTGGACAATAATTGATTTGGGAATTCCATATGCTACATTAGTTATGTAGGAAGTGGTAAACCAAGAAAATTGTTATAAATGAAATAGACTTACCTTCTGACATTAAAAGGGCCTTCACCAGGAGAACCTTCACCTCCCCGGATGCAAGTGGTGACACATTTGATAGTGCAGGACTCGGCTTTCCTAGATTTGGGTCGTTGGATTCTAGGCTTGGTGCAATCCTTTGCCGCCGCACACTCGCCGGATAGTTCTTGGGGTATGTTAGACAGTGTATCCCCTTCTTCAATGGCACCTGCACCTGAGGCTATCACAATTGCAGCTGCTAACAAGCCCGTAGTTGTAGTTGCAAGATTTTTTCTAGTGTTGGTGTTAACACTGACACTAACACTCGCAAGATTCCTTGAGATTCTGTTACAAAGAACCGGAGCTGAGGCACGAATTAGCATTATGGTGGTTGTTAAACTAGCTTCTGAAGAATCAGTTCCAGTTTTATTGTACCTTCATTTTCAACCAAATTCAACACCAAGGCCCCTCCGCCTCTGGCCCTTTCTCACATTTTTTCTTATCTTTTAGCCAAAATCAAGTTAAATATCCTTGCTAATAACTACGTTATACAGTGTCTTTTTTCTCATCTACGTGTCAAATTTCATGGCTCATAAAAACAATACATGCAATTCAACTAGTCTGCGTTAGTTACGGATTAAATTCATCAAGACTCCCAGTTATACTAGTACTCCGGTAGTAGTGTCTTTTTTTCCGTACAATTTTTTTTTTTTTTTTTTTAACCTAGATATTCAACTAATCTCTTAAGACTTTGAAATTAACGATTAAATAATCCTCCAGTGGCTATTAAGGGCCAAGAGAAATCAAATTCAAAACTCTTTAAATAATACATTAAAAAATCCCTATTCACCCACTCGACCAGACCACCTAAGGGTTAGTTTACAAATTATTTTACCCACCTTACTTGGTAGATTCAACTTTATCTTTTACCTATCTCAAACCTAAATATTTTCTCTCCGAACCTAGGTTCGAATCAGTGGATGCGGTCTAAACCTCTACTATTTAAGTAAGCTCTACTCAACGTGATGAGCCGGAGCCGGAGCCGGAGCCGGAGATGTTACATTTGAGTGAAAATGCTAGAAATTAACACGAGATCATACATAATGAGACAGGGCACAACTCTTTTCCTTTAATTCACGATACATACATATTTCCCTTTGGCAAATGCATTTACATTATAGAAACAAAAACATCAGCTGTATAAGAAACAGAAAAAACGAAAAAACATGACAATAGCGAACGATCTGCTCTGTTGGTAGCTTTACAATATGTAATCAGTAGAGGAACAAGTAACAAACAATAGTTAATTTGGGGATCAAGTATTTTTCTCTAGAACAGATAGTGCTGGTGTCAAATAATTGTTTGCTTTGTCGGGCAAATGTGCAACCTACAGAAAGATTTACAAAATAAACAATCAGTTGAAATACACAAGCCTAGAGAGAAAAATGTATGTATGTATATATGTAGAAAAATTGGTGCTTTACCAGCTCATATAACTCTCTCCCTTGATCGGTAACATATTCATAGCATACCTGCACATGATTGAAGAATTTTTAGTTTGTTCTCATTTAAAAACTAGAAGAAAACACCAAACAGAACGTAACTCACATCAAAGCTTTTATTTCTTGCTGTTGAATCGTGCAAGGCCTTCACACATATATCAGCCACATCGGCACAGCTGATGCCCTGAATGGAGAGATGATAAAGGGTAAGATGGGATTTCAGTCTAGTTACATTATATGTAGTGTGGGAAATTAAAAATTGTTATCACCTGAGTAATCCTGTTTCCTTGATCAAATACGAGAGCACGCTGCCCACCAGGTTCCTCCTGAAAGGATCAATCTTTAATTAATATCTATGTGGTACTTTAAGTAAACAAGTAATCAGCTCCCAGAAGGTATTTACAGACTTTTTTGCTTTAAGAATCAAAGAAAACAAACATAAACTCTCTAGTTTTAGTTATTCCCCTTTGCTTTCAAAAAAATACTCTCTTTCATACAAGATTGCAAACAATGTTTCAGTGGTAAAAGCTAATATGTGCTTTCTGTGCATAACTAGATTGAGCCTAGATATCAATTCCAAGCAATGCAAAATCCACCGATTTACAGGAATGAAAAGCATGAGTTTAGCATTACAATTGATAAGTTTCTGATAGATCACTAAAACGAAAACATCAGTTCCCGGTCTTTTAGGGGTCAACTGGTAGTCCGGCAAGGTTTCAGTTTTTATTCACTGTTATAATACAAATTGCCACATGGTTCATCGGCGTACGTGTTCATGAAGCTGCAACCACAATTAAGGCTCCTATTGGAAAAATTATTTTGCAGGTTCTGTGCTGCATGCTGAAGAACAGAGGCAATGCAGCACCTTACTATGTTATCTGATTTAAGGTACTCACTGTTAGTGTAACTTCTAGGATAAATGGTTTCTTAACATGGAAGTAAAACAAAGGTCTTCAACTTGAATTCCTTGCATGTTACTAGCTGCCATTTTTATGTCCACTGCATAAATTTTTATTTGGGTTTCTTCTTCTACGCCATCTAAATTTGGACTTGCTTCTTGTTACATGTGTGGAGAGTATAATAGAATTTAATACTTGTTTTGAAACCTTTGTAACCTTAAGTTTTCACATCGAGTGGTTTCTTCACACTCACTACACTTGTTTTCAACATGCATCAATTGGTCATTGAGATTGAACTGTAATATGCAATCAATTTTCTATTCCACCAGCTAGGTCAAATTTGTAAAGCATGCATAAATAAAGACATAAGACTTCATACTTGAGCACAGTAGCTTCTTATGTCAAGTAAAAAACAAAACTAAAGAGTAGCTCCTAACTTTACCTGTAGGGGACCAGGGCGAATGATTGTATAGCCAAGACCTGATCTTCTCAATAAATCTTCCCCAGCCTACGGAAAATTCAAGAACATCAATAATACAAAACTGAGAAAAAGCAAAAAGTAAAATGAACTTTTCACACCGTTTAAAGGAACAAAAGCAGAGAAGCCACTTACCCTCTTGGATTTAAGAACCTGCTCCCGTCTGCTAGATTCTACTCCTAATCCTGTACAAGATACTAAAACAAAGTCTGTTTCTTGCCCAGTCTGCAGAACCACCATCACCAAAATTTTGTCAAAGGCAAAGGACATATATAAAACTTGCAGTCTCTACACTTGTATTACAATAGTCACACAATTCCTCATACCTAAGCATTCCCTTTTTTCAGTACTGAAAAGATTATAAATTCAGTTCCAGCATACCATGCAAAAATATGTTCCAACAGAAAACATACAGAATCAGCTTTGCAGATGTTAATAAACATTGCACCAAACACTTGCAATCTTAGGACATTTATTCTGTGAATTAGTGAGTTAACAACAGAAATTTGAAGCTTATTCCAGAATATTTTGCTCAATGTTTCAGTGAGTTAACAACACAGATGACCCTAACAAGCAACAAAATTATAACAGCTGTGTCTGTCACAGGAAGAAGGGGTAAAAACCCGAAGATAATGAGAGAGAGTGAGATGGTAGAATGGATTATGAAGTTGAGGCTTGGAGCTGGAATGCTTGATGCATACAAGCTGTACAGAATTAAGGACCACTCAACCACATGATTGATCCTTCTGTCGGAAATTTTGTTTTAAGGAAAAAAAAGTGTGGCACATTCATTTTTGTAACAATATTGGCAGGTGATGCATCATAAAATAAACAAGAAAATTCTAGAACCAAAACTGAAGTTTGTCCAGAATACACATTAAAGCACTTACAGGCAAAGCTTTTATATACTCCAATATAAGCTTAAAGGTTCTAAGGTCTTGCCTTGCACCAGAAGGTCCTTCAACAGGTTTCTGCAGCAGGAATAACAATTGAAATCAGCACAGTTGGAACAGAATAGGTATTACATCAAGAGGCGTTAGATTGCACATATAATGAGAAGTCATTCTCATGCAGCTTTCAAAATACATTTTGCATCACCAATTATCATATTTGATGAATACAATCATGTCACCTTTTTTTTTTTTTTGGTAAGTAATCATGTCTCCTTTTGACCCCACATAAACCAGATAGAAGTGTCAGAAGCCCAACTAGTATATTACAAATAATACACAGATTTTCAGTAGCAATTACTAATTGCCTTATATTGGTGGGCCGCCAGAAAACCATCTAGTCATTTTTATAAATTCAAAAAGCTCACTTTCTGTGATGACAATCATCGCCATTGGGAAATTAGTGTCTGCCAATCTTGTAGATAATAGTGAGATCAACAACATGCTTATGAGGTGAATTGATCAAGCTTAATACTCCTGTTATATACCAAGAGGGGAGCTAGGATGTAAAGGTGGGTCACTTATGACAGTAGACTTGAAGTTGACTCCATAGAAATGGAAATACTGCAACTACATTGCACGTTATAAATTGAATATAGAGGTGGTAAAAGTAATATAAACTTATTCCCATGACAGAGAAAGTCATGCAAGTAGCTTTTCACAATGTTTAAGAAATCCGGAAACAAAAAAGTAGAAGGCAACAAAAGATAATCACATTTATTTCCATGAAAATAGTCAAGGACAAACCTGTCTTCTGGGCTCAAATCTTATGGTCATTGTATGTACAAGGAAAGGATCAAATGGAGGATCATCTGGTTTCACAGGGCGGAAGGATGAAAATGGCACCCTGACCTGCAATTGACAGATAGGTGGAATCATAGAGTGTTGTGCGGACTTTTCACAAACATTGAGAAAGAAATAATTGGAAAACAATTATGGGATGCAATGCAACCATCGTTTACAAACAAATAAAAGATCCTTACCCGACAAAATCCTACTTTCGTGGTAAATCTTGCAAAATACAATTTGCTTTGAGTTGTATCTGCTGAAGGACCGGCTTCAAGAATTAAAACATAAGATCTTCCATTCCCACCCACAGAGAGAACTAGACCCTCATACCTAAAAGCAGAAGATATTATTATTATGGAAGCACCGTAAGCATTTGGAGTGGGGGCAACAAAAAAGTGTAACAAGAGCCTCAAGAGAATATGGAATGCCAATAATAATGCAAGCATCCAGCAATACTTAATCAAGGGGGTATGAAAATCATTTTGAATGGACACGATGAATATCTCTAATCAAAATACAAATTCACCCAGAAGAAAGAGACCATTAACCTCCAGGGGATCATTACTAATGCAAACAGTTGTACCTGTCAAGAGTGCTACCCATAGGAAGTGAAAGCTTCCTTGACAGCTCAACGTACCCTCCTCTGGTGAAAACATACCCTACAGTTGAAAACATCTTTACTTAAAATTGGAACGAAATTTTAGGAACAAGTTTGGAAACTCATGTGGAATTGTATTTGATTTGCTCCAAACAGGACATGAATCATAGGTCTTCCCAAAGTCCATCAGGTATACCTGAAAAAACAGCCTGTCCAGTTTCAGTGAACTCAAATCTAGCATCCATTCCTGCATCATACTTTAAAGCAACCACATCCTGGAAGTAAGTTCCTTGACGAACTTCCCAGCCATTCAATGAATCTTCAGATTTGAACTTTGCAAGCAGAAGCTTGCTTTTGCTGCTTTTCCCTGCCCGTAATTGTGCTAATTTATTATTGTAGTCCTGAATTTGGGAGAGGATCGTCAAGATTATTTATAACTTCACAATATTATATTGGTAACATCAACATTGAAAGTAGTTGACCTGAAATGCTTTAGTAAGGTTGTAAACCCCTTGATGATCAACTCTATAAAGATCAGCCGTAATGGTAGAACGAGCAGTAGCACAATAAATGATTTTGTTGCAATTCTCCACAGCAACATTAAGAGTGGAAGGATCCCCAACATCGCCAATTACTATCTCCACTGACCTGGGAAGCATGTCCACCACTTCCTCATCTGCTTTCCTCACCAAAGCCTGACAAAACAACAAAATTAACACAGTGATATGATAATTATATGAAAATCTAAATAAATAAAAAACCAACCTTAACAGCATAACCTCTGAGCATGAGCTTCCTCACAACGATCCTGCCAATACGACTTGTGGCACCAACCACAAGAACAGTAGTATTCTGAGCGCCAGGAGTAGTGAACTCACACATGGGACCTTCTCGTACAAAAAGTGCATCCAAAGTCTCCATGTCATCATCTCGGGTAGTTCTGGATATCTGTCCCAACCCAGAGAACTTCCTCCACACTTCATCAAATATCTGCCGAGATTTCCTCCCCAACCCCACAGGGTTCACATCATCCAAACTTATAGACACTTGCTGCTGTTGTTGTTGTTGTGGTGGTGGAGGTGATGATTGTTTCGTTAGTTTATTATTTTCAGCAATAGCATCAAGTGGGGTGTTGGTGTTAGTTTTCTTATTCTTCCCTTTTCCAGAATTCCCCGCGGATGCTTTGGGGACAAACATTTGGGCACGACAAGAAGAATGCCATTGTGGAGAGCTATGGAAATAACAAGAATTGCTTAGTTTAGGAGTCGCGGTTACAGTTTTGGCAGCTGCAGGCATACTGTTGCTGATATTGGAGCTTAAAATGTATTACATATGATTTTGACAAAAACAATTAGAAAAGGGTACACAGATTTGGTGATGGTGAGTGGATAATTTAGAAATAGTGGTGCTTCAGAAATTACAGACCACAGAAAATGATTTATTTTATGATTCAGATTCTGAGATCACCAAGGAAACAAGAGCGACCAGAGATGCCACGTAGAGGATTCAATCCCACTTATTCATTGACGCGTCAGATATAAAGATAAATAAGACGTCAAAGTCAAAGTGCTCATTTTTATTTGATGAGAAAATAGTAGAGTCAAAATTTCTTACTAGAAATATAATCACGAATAATGAAGAGGAGCATATAAAATTTAAGCGACTATTACTATATAAACATAACATGAGGGTATCAATAAAATGAATGGCTGCAGTCCTAAGATGGGACTTATTTTTTTTTTTCCATCTTTTTTAACAGAAAGACATTCTACAAAAAAAGAGGGGCTGCGTCGTTGTCTATAAAAGAAGAGAAAAGAAAAGGAAAGAAAAGGGGGATTCGCAACTGACCACCTCCCCACATTTCTTTTGTAAGAGAACACTTGAAAGAAGACGGGATTAGAACAATTATAGTACAATCGCCATCCAATAATGGCATTGGACTTGGGACAATACAATAAGATGAAATCAAAGAATCACCAAATCTGGCCACCGACCAACATAAATCAGCAAGACACGATCGGTACTAGTCGTAGCAGTACTCTCATGTCTTTAGTTAGTGGGTTGGTGTCAACCAAGAGGGCAGGTCTAGTCGTGGAGTATGGATCAAAGGGTTATTCCCCAACTGATGATCATATCATAAACCCATTCCGCAGTATGTTTTACATGTGTATACCCTTCTCACCGTCTACTTCCGCCACTTTTTTCCACCACTGTTTTCTACACAGCACCCTGTGGCCCAACAAAACAACTCTCCACCTCCCCTCACTATCTGGTTCTTTCTCACCAAAATCACAATATTTACATGTACACATTTGGTCACCCAGCGTTGCCAGCAACCTCTGCAGCTCTTTGCCTCATCATCTCCATCACAGCAGCCCTACGCCGAGAATCAGACTGCTGCTGTAGCCTCCTCAAATGTTCTTTAAGATCTCTGAATAAATTAAAAAACATCTGGGTTAATAATTTACCAAAACATTTTCTACATGATTAAGATAAAAAAGTTATGTATAAACCTGCAACGTGGTACGTGGCATTCGGATTCTTTGCATGCTCGAGCATGGAGTTGCAGTAGATACCACATTTTTTTGCAAAGTACACAACCTCCAGATGCACGAGTTTTACATTGTATACCATGTCGGAAGAGCCCCTTCACCTTACGGCAATTAGGGTATTGGCAATGCGGAGAACGACATTGTGATGCATGCACCAGTAGATCAAGCATTTTTCTAAGCTGCAAATTGAAACACCAATTATGTTAGAATCAACATAGAAAGAAGCCCGAGTTTTTAAACTGTATGTTCATGCTTGAGCAAATTTTTTTATAAATAATTTGTTTTGCGTATTTGTATAGAGAAAATGAAGAGTTGTGTTCAAGAAAAATATTAAAAAAATATATACAAATGAAAAGAAGGAAACTACAATGGATAAATAACGAGAATACAGCACCTGCAACACCCGCATTTGCCTAGCTTCTTTATTCTGTGCATCACGATCAGCAATTGATGGATGATTTGTCAATTTATGAGGATGATCAATACCCCCATCTTTCTGATAGCAAGCATTGCATACATCATAATCAGGGCAAACTTCACAGCGCCAACCTTGACCAGTTTCTATATCAAGATGGCATATATTGCATGTTGTTACAAATGCAGGTGCAGTTGGATTATGAAGATGATAAAGGACCATCATTGATGAGTGTTTAGCCCGCCTCAAGGTATCATACTGATAGTGATTTCCTTGGCAAAGACTCAAAAATGCCTGTCTGGTATCAAAGAATTCACTCTCGAGAATCTCATCTCTATCTTTTGTATCAACAGGTACATCCATAATTGGAACCTAAAGGATTTCAAGATGCCATTTTTAGTTAAAATATGCAGTTACAATAGTTACTCGAATTAGGAGTTCACATATTTGAGTACTTACTTCCTCAAGAGGGTGTACTTCCCTCAAATTGATGGGATGTCTCTCTCTTTCTTCACGTTTCTTTTCAGCTTCAAAGCATCTATTAAGTGAAACAGCATAAATATCAAAAACCCCAAGGAACAAGTAGGAATTATACTCTACTAATCAACAACAGTTCAAGAAAATTCAACAATATTTGACAGTGGCAACCCAAGACAAGGAAAAAGATCAAAAAGAAAAGATCAGGGATAAGAATAACATCACGAGTTCCCATTCCTGACAAGGAAACTCTATTGCTTGCGGTTGGTAAAACATGTTAAAATACCCCAATGATTCAAATTCATATATCAAACCATATAAAATATAACACTTTTCATGACATTAATGTGTATAATTATAGAAGATACTTACTTATCACAAAGCTGAAAATTTTTACACTGTCTGCATACATGACGATTCCCAGATACCATCAGAATACAACAATGATTGCACGCATGCTGTAAATGAACCATGATAAAATCTTCCTTCATTGGGCAAATGGTCTCACCAAGCTGGGAAAAAAAAGGTAAGATGAAAACAGAAATTAGAAATTAAAAAAAAAAAATAAACCCAATAAAAAAATTTCAACTTCAATATGCAGCAAGTAAAAAGAAAAAGAACAAGCATAATCAATTATCTATCTTTCAAAGAAAATTTCAAATCATTAAATATCTGGAGGTTAAACATTACTTTATGCATTAGTAGCAGATCCTTTGACGCGTTACCGGAGAGATCAGTTTGACCAGATGCTTTAAGAGCCCTTTTTGTGATAGTTTTTTTGGTTATTCCTTTCTTATTCTGTTTTTTGCCATCTTCTTCTTGACGAATCTGATAGATTAGATCTTCTGCAGCACCAGGCCAGTAGTCACCATCAAAATATGGCAGTCTAGCCGCAGTTACCTTAGCTCTACATTCACCAGTGGATACAAAGAAGTGATCGTATAAATTAGTAAGATCAACCACAATGCTTTCCCGGGAAGCTTTTCTTAACATCGCCAAATACCTGAAGAAATGCATGAAAAAACGCAAAGAGTAAGAGGATGAAATAATTCATGAAGTGCTGAGTCACTAAGTTTCTTTCCAGAATATTATTTCTCACCATTCTCGAAGCTTATCAGATTTTGGAGTTTTCTGAATCTCTGGATGACAATATAATATATAATCTTCACCCTTTAGAGGAGGGCAGGCCCATATATAACAGCTTGTAAAACCACGCAACTTGCAATATTCAAGGTAGCCAATCTGGAAACATTATTTAGCATAGAATATTCCAATTAAATATCACAAATCCAATCAATCACCGTTAGAAAAGAGAAAAATGACAACTTTAAACTTACCAGGATTTCATGGTAGACAAATGTACGAAGTGCTTCTCCAGTAACTGCTTTAATCTCAGGCCTAAAATACTTCACAGAGTCCAAATATGATAGATACACACGACGCTGATTTGGAAATTGGCACTCTGATCCAAATTCTTGAACATACATGCCAAAAAGGCATACTTCTACACCTTCAATCTTCTGAAACAGCAGAATTACCTGAAAGAAATGATCATAAATTGAAATCAAGAGCTAATACACATCACGGCCACTACATTGCCTTGTCAAAGTAAGAGAATTAATCAAGAGTATATCCTCTATACCTTAGACTTATATGGGAACTCAGTTGGGTAATTCTCTTCGTGAAAAATTTCAAGAAAACGCTGCTTCACTTCCAACTTTTTGTCAACAGATGAAACAACTCGAACTACAAGTGATTCAGCCCCAGGAACCTGGAAATAATAATTAAAGAAGAAATTTATTAATGACACTCAGCATAAATTGATAATCAGAGTCTAACAAATTAAAAAAACTTTAATCTAATACAGACAAAAAACAATTAGCCTAATACCATATAAACATTTTCAGGGATAAACCTGTATGCAGATACCTAGAAGAGAAGTTCCAGGATCAGCAATACAGTAAGAACCATTAACAACAGATTCCAATTCATAGGCATCAGATAACATCCCATAAATACCAAATGGGATCACCTAAATCATCCTACTGTTAATTAGGAAAGGGACTCAATTATCATGTCATCACTTAAATCACAAAACAAAAGAGAATCCCCGCTAGTATCACTAAAAACCTAATATTATCAACCTTCACTCGAGAAAAACAGCAGACATGACAGCATAAAAAAATCACCTCATCATATGATTTTCCTTGAATCCTTGCCCTTTCTTGTCTCTCCACCTTCAGTCTCTTAAACAATCGCTGCTCTATGTGGTCACTAAGGATTGTTCTTGGCAAATCTTTGGCCCCCAGAACAGCACTCTGTGGTAAAGGCTTGCGTTCTCCTCTTTCAACCTCTGCTATGTAGCAATTAGGACAAGTGTATTCAGCTTGCCCACCATCATTCCTTCGACCATTAAATAAAGCACAAATTTGATGTTGCCAAGCTTCACACTTGTCGCATTGAACCCACTGCACGTGATGATTGAAGACAGAATACATCAGATTGAATGTTCAAGACCATGAAAACGTAAAGAACAAACACAAAATGACAAAGATAAAACTTACCCATTCTTCAGTCTCCTCATCATTTTTCTTCTTCTCCAGCCTTGCCTTTGGAATATTATTTCCATCAACAATGATGGTGTCTCCACGAGCCTCATTATAACATGGAATACAGAAATAGTGCCTTGTATCACCAGCTCCCATGGTATAATACATTGCATTTCGCTTAATACGAGCACCACATGGTGTGCAGTATATAGGTGGCGGTTCAAAAGTGAGCTTCTCAACTGCACACAGCTGACAAGAGTTCTCACTCATTGCATGCTCCATTGCTTGATTCTTTTCTGCCTTTGCTTTACTCTGAAAGAAAGAACAAACTTGTCAACCCATAATATTGATGCCTGATATAAGAGAGAATAAAAAAGCACATGCCTTATCTCAAGAAGATTGGAACATTTAAGCTATAGTATTGGTCGGTTAAAATATACATGCACATGCCCCTAATAGAATGACAAAGCAACTAGGACCATAAGAGAAAAAGATTCAACAATATTAACAAAAATATAGCAAAAGATGAACGGACAGTATTTGAACATGAAGAGCTACGTAATATATTTTTCTCCTTGATCCAGGAAAAAAAAAAAAACGCTGATGTGAACTCCTTTATCTTATCCTGCTCCTATATACAAGCCGTAGCATCTCAATATGAACTGACATACCTGGCCTACCCACTGCCTGAGGCCTGTTATGTGCTCTCTAACTTGTTCTGGAGTGAACAGTTCGGTCAGTGATTATAGAAGATACTTACTTATCACAAAGCTGAAAATTTTTACACTGTCTGCATACATGACGATTCCCAGATACCATCAGAATACAACAATGATTGCACGCATGCTGTAAATGAACCATGATAAAATCTTCCTTCATTGGGCAAATGGTCTCACCAAGCTGGGAAAAAAAAGGTAAGATGAAAACAGAAATTAGAAATTAAAAAAAAAAAATAAACCCAATAAAAAAATTTCAACTTCAATATGCAGCAAGTAAAAAGAAAAAGAACAAGCATAATCAATTATCTATCTTTCAAAGAAAATTTCAAATCATTAAATATCTGGAGGTTAAACATTACTTTATGCATTAGTAGCAGATCCTTTGACGCGTTACCGGAGAGATCAGTTTGACCAGATGCTTTAAGAGCCCTTTTTGTGATAGTTTTTTTGGTTATTCCTTTCTTATTCTGTTTTTTGCCATCTTCTTCTTGACGAATCTGATAGATTAGATCTTCTGCAGCACCAGGCCAGTAGTCACCATCAAAATATGGCAGTCTAGCCGCAGTTACCTTAGCTCTACATTCACCAGTGGATACAAAGAAGTGATCGTATAAATTAGTAAGATCAACCACAATGCTTTCCCGGGAAGCTTTTCTTAACATCGCCAAATACCTGAAGAAATGCATGAAAAAACGCAAAGAGTAAGAGGATGAAATAATTCATGAAGTGCTGAGTCACTAAGTTTCTTTCCAGAATATTATTTCTCACCATTCTCGAAGCTTATCAGATTTTGGAGTTTTCTGAATCTCTGGATGACAATATAATATATAATCTTCACCCTTTAGAGGAGGGCAGGCCCATATATAACAGCTTGTAAAACCACGCAACTTGCAATATTCAAGGTAGCCAATCTGGAAACATTATTTAGCATAGAATATTCCAATTAAATATCACAAATCCAATCAATCACCGTTAGAAAAGAGAAAAATGACAACTTTAAACTTACCAGGATTTCATGGTAGACAAATGTACGAAGTGCTTCTCCAGTAACTGCTTTAATCTCAGGCCTAAAATACTTCACAGAGTCCAAATATGATAGATACACACGACGCTGATTTGGAAATTGGCACTCTGATCCAAATTCTTGAACATACATGCCAAAAAGGCATACTTCTACACCTTCAATCTTCTGAAACAGCAGAATTACCTGAAAGAAATGATCATAAATTGAAATCAAGAGCTAATACACATCACGGCCACTACATTGCCTTGTCAAAGTAAGAGAATTAATCAAGAGTATATCCTCTATACCTTAGACTTATATGGGAACTCAGTTGGGTAATTCTCTTCGTGAAAAATTTCAAGAAAACGCTGCTTCACTTCCAACTTTTTGTCAACAGATGAAACAACTCGAACTACAAGTGATTCAGCCCCAGGAACCTGGAAATAATAATTAAAGAAGAAATTTATTAATGACACTCAGCATAAATTGATAATCAGAGTCTAACAAATTAAAAAAACTTTAATCTAATACAGACAAAAAACAATTAGCCTAATACCATATAAACATTTTCAGGGATAAACCTGTATGCAGATACCTAGAAGAGAAGTTCCAGGATCAGCAATACAGTAAGAACCATTAACAACAGATTCCAATTCATAGGCATCAGATAACATCCCATAAATACCAAATGGGATCACCTAAATCATCCTACTGTTAATTAGGAAAGGGACTCAATTATCATGTCATCACTTAAATCACAAAACAAAAGAGAATCCCCGCTAGTATCACTAAAAACCTAATATTATCAACCTTCACTCGAGAAAAACAGCAGACATGACAGCATAAAAAAATCACCTCATCATATGATTTTCCTTGAATCCTTGCCCTTTCTTGTCTCTCCACCTTCAGTCTCTTAAACAATCGCTGCTCTATGTGGTCACTAAGGATTGTTCTTGGCAAATCTTTGGCCCCCAGAACAGCACTCTGTGGTAAAGGCTTGCGTTCTCCTCTTTCAACCTCTGCTATGTAGCAATTAGGACAAGTGTATTCAGCTTGCCCACCATCATTCCTTCGACCATTAAATAAAGCACAAATTTGATGTTGCCAAGCTTCACACTTGTCGCATTGAACCCACTGCACGTGATGATTGAAGACAGAATACATCAGATTGAATGTTCAAGACCATGCAAACGTAAAGAACAAACACAAAATGACAAAGATAAAACTTACCCATTCTTCAGTCTCCTCATCATTTTTCTTCTTCTCCAGCCTTGCCTTTGGAATATTATTTCCATCAACAACGATGGTGTCTCCACGAGCCTCATTATAACATGGAATACAGAAATAGTGCCTTGTATCACCAGCTCCCATGGTATAATACATTGCATTTCGCTTAATACGAGCACCACATGGTGTGCAATATATAGGTGGCGGTTCAAAAGTGAGCTTCTCAACTGCACACAGCTGACAAGAGTTCTCACTCATTGCATGCTCCATTGCTTGATTCTTTTCTGCCTTTGCTTTACTCTGAAAGAAAGAACAAACTTATCAACCCATAATATTGACGTCTGATATAAGAGAGAATAAAAAATCATATGCCTTATCTCAAGAAGATTGGAACATTTAAGCTATAGTATTGGTAGGTTAAAATATACATGCACATGCCCCTAATAGAATGACAAAGCAACTAGGACCATAAGAGAAAAAGGTTCAACAATATTAACAAAAATATAGCAAAAGATGAACGGACAGTATTTGAACATGAAGAGCTACGTAATATATTTTTCTCCTTGATCCAGGAAAAAAAAAAAACGCTGATGTGAACTCCTTTATCTTATCCTGCTCCTATATACAAGCCGTAGCATCTCAATATGAACTGACATACCTGGCCTACCCACTGCCTGAGGCCTGTTATGTGCTCTCTAACTTGTTCTGGAGTGAACAGTTCGGTCAGTGATACCCCCTTTATTTTTGGCTTTCCAGACTTGGTTCCAGCAGCATTTTCAGCAGGCTGTGTCACATTTTCTTGCTTAGGTACATCACTCTCTTTCTCAGCTTTAATATTTTCTTGCTCAGCTAATGCAGTAGGCTCCTCACATATGATAGGCTCACCATCAGGCCTTTGGTTGCCAATGTCATCCACATTATCCTTCATATCACTGTTATCAGGACTTCGTTGTCCAGAACTTACAGGAGCTTCAGTCTTTACTTCCCTGAACTCCGACTTAATGGGCATACCCATCTTGCCCTGTTTGTAATCTTGGTGCTGAACATCTTGGGAAACATGGGGTTCAGAAATTGCAGAAGTCAATACTGCATTGCTCTCAGGATCAAGAGATTGAGAGGATTGTTCTAATTTCATGCGTTTTAGAGAAGGCTGTATATCTTGTGAACTTTCAACAACAGGTGGAGTTTTAGGAATCACTCCACCTGAAGTGTCTCCAGTATCATAGGATTTACAAGATCCACCAACCGAATTCAGCAACCGAGAGTCAGAGTTAGGACGAGCACGTTCCTTTTGTTGATGCAGATAGTTCTTCACCGGAACACAAACAGGGCAACAAGAGTCTCTGCACTGCCTGTGATGATTTATCAAAATTCTGGAATGATAGCAACGAGGGTATGGACATTGAGGTGAATTGCAATTCTCCATATGTTTCCACAATCTTTGAACAGTAATGCAATGAATGTCCTGACACTTCCCTTCAGGAGCAGTACATCGACGTGCATGGCGCAAGAACAAAAGCCATCTCTGTTGATTTCTAAACTGTCGATCACGGTTTCCATTGCTAGATCTGCAGCTAGTACCTCTAGAATTTGGGGGCTCTGTCATGCTTCTAGAACTGGCAGGTTGACCCATAACAGATCCATCTGAAGATAAATTATTACGCTGAGCTTCACCTTGCCCGGCTATCCTCTGGCGGAAATCCTCCTGTATATGCTGATCATGTGAAATGTTCCCGGTCATGTGAGTCCTTTCCAGTGATTGAGGATGCCATTGACCCTGAAGAGCTGCCTCTGATTGAGATCCTACAGAAAAGAAGTTAAAACCATTATGAGATTCTGTAACTGACTGCTGTGGATGCAAAATTTGCAGCATAGGTTGAGAAATTTGAGGCAGTAATAAGCAGATATCATACAGACCAGAAGAAACAGATAAATGTTGAGCACCCATAGAATGGTCTTCAGAAGGATTCAGCTGAAATTGGTTTTGTGACGCAGGCATCTGGAATGGCTCAGAAACTTGTGAATGCATCACTTCATTCTGCTGCTCCATTCCAGGTTCACGCTTCACCTGACTGCCTATTCTCATCACCTTAGCATGACCATATCCTCATTGTTTAACAAAATGCTGTTGCTGCTGACTATGCTGCTTCTGGTGGCGCTGAGTTGAACAAATTGTGCTGGTGTTGAAATTGATGCGGTTGTTGCTGACACTGTTGCTGTTGATGGGACTGTAGAAGATTGTCTCTTGAGGACAGGGGAAGAGAAACTCATCTTCTCTGATTGATCAATCGATGGAGGCTTTATGTGCGCACCCTGTGGTGCCCCATGATAATTCGACTGATTACCTATCATGGAGAGTGGTTTTGGACATGGCGACTGCAAGCTCACGATTAAAATTATGATTTTTGTAATTGCTCCAACTGATTTTACACCATAGAATTTCCCAGTCCCAATTATCAGCATTGCTCATGCCATACCCGTCACCTGATGAATAAATTGTTGGTTGTAAAATGCCGTCTTATGCAAAGAGTAACCTCAGCTTCTAAATTAACTATGAAGCAATAACATGATTCAACAAAAAGAAAGGAAACACACGATGAAGAGAGAGATATGTTACCCGCATTAGTGGTCGCTGATGATCAAAGTGCGCTGTAAAGGTTTGGGTGAATTAGCGTACGGGGTGGTCGTTAAATAGCCCTCAAGTGCCAGGTTCATTCACAAGTGGTAAATTGTTCCCAATCATCCCTAACCCACCATTTAGAGCCCCATTAGAGAACCCATAAGATTTATGCTGAAGGCCAGACTTATACCACTACCCATATGGCTGCCAGGTTGTGCATATGCGGCTGTTTTTGACCACCAACATGCTGCTTTTGCTGTTGTGGCTGTGATACCATTGTAGATTCAACAGTTGAAAACCCACACCATTATTAGAAGATTCCAATTCATATATACGGATTACTGCTACTACTACTACTGTGTTGTTATTATTACTGTTAAATCCAGGAGTAGGAATCATTTGACTTGTAATCCCTGGGCTCCCATTGATGACATGTTCCACCAGAACCAATGGAAAAATTGGCCGTGATTGTTGATATCCATTAGACAGATCCTGCAGAAGTAATTATGTAATGCGGCATAAAAGGAAAAGTAATCAGTACTATTGATAAATTATAAGAATCAAATATACCATCGTTCTATTGAAGGAACCACTCTGTAAGCCACCAGCTGACAACAGGCTTCCTGTGTTGACAGTTGTGGGTGCTATGGTATTACTTCCACTGGCAGCAATCACTGAGCTATCTCGAGGATGTAACCATCATGATGAATTCACGTTGTGTGACATCCCAGGTGTGTGGTATCATTGTACCAATGGAAGAGGAAGAATTTACAAGCTGTTGATGCCGCTGATTATGGTTATTGCCAGATCTTCCTTTAATCGACTACTCAACGAAACTCTAATGTCTCCAAATTCATAAATCCTCCTACATAGGGGTTGCAGATGTATAACAAGCATAAAGTAATTGTCACATAAAGAAATAATTCTTAAATATGAATTGCAGATGTATAACAAGATATAAACTAATTGTTTCATACAGAATAATAAGCTCTTGATACAATCCTAGAAATGATATACCTCATTGCTTCGATTTGACAGATTTCAATATAATGGATAACAAACATTTCTTTATTCTCAGAACAAAACTTAATAATTTATAATTAATAGCTGAGATAATTATTTTCTCAATAAAAAGGAAAGAAAAGAAAAAAAAAAAACCTTTGTCAGAGCAGCTTTAAAAAACCCTCCTCTAAGCGTTTTGAAATATCCCTAAACCTCGCTCTTGTTGCTTCATCAATTGGTTGGTCTGGCGTTGCAATAGAATTGAAAGCTGGAAAGAGTGAAATAAAATTCTGTTCGTTAACTGTCACAAAAATTTTAGTAATGCCACTTTTTCCAAAACTTGTTTCTCAATTGGACAATACTTTAGACTACCATAGAGATGATACAATAATGTGACAATTATATGACAGTCCTCCGTCATTCCTAAATAATATAATGCATTAATGAGGTGACCCACTTGAAATTAAAAACTTTATCAAGTAGTATTATTTTCTCCTTCCAATAAAATTTTGACGGATCAGAGATTAGTTAATTTCTTTTGTCCAAAACAATTAGTTTTCTTGTTTATCATAATCAAAATAAAGCGAGACCCAAAATGTTCCACAGCACTGATTCACAAGAATAAAATATTTCATCTTCCCCTCTTGTATATGTAATATAATTCAAATATAGAAAATAAAATTTTAAAAACATGTTAAGATATGAGTTCTACATAATAGCACCAATAGTTGCAGACTAGTAATTACTTAATAAAGATTATCTTTTTAAAATAGTGAACACTAATAATGATGGTTTCTAAGTAAATCATCCAATTCCCAAGTCCATTAGAAAGTTAATTGTAAGATAAGGAAACAAAGATCCTGCTTACTCAAAGAACCCATAATTATGATATCATATAAGATATTTAACCTTATTTGTTACTTAAACATTCATTCCTAGTCCAATGGATTCTGATTCTAAAAACACAAAGATACCACATAAACATAGGTGCTCACACATAAAATATGAAATACTGCATAACCTGTGAGTCCTAGAAAGCTAAAGATTACATATCACGACAAACCACTGCAGTTTCAAAGTCATCAATTAGAATTAGTGGGGAAGGTAACTTGTTTCATAGATTCAAGCAATTATTGAAGAATCCATTTACACATTAGATACATTTGCTACCAAAAAAAATCATAATATGTTACTACTGAAAACACAAATGTCCAGCATGGGAACATGATATTTTCTAACTTCAAAAAATGAAGGTTTCTGCTCTTCAATTTACAATATTGCTTGTTAAATTATGTAGTTAAAAGAATATTGCTTCTAATTCATTCTAATGAAAATTATTTTCTTCATTGGTGGTAAAAGCAATAACGTCATATGAGAAATTCGTAAACAACCTTAGTACACACTTCCCCAACTTACCTATTATTCCACAAATAAGGAGGAAAACAAGGAGGAGAATAGAGAAAGGAAATAACATACATACCATAAGAAAGAAATAATGCAGCAGTCATAGAATTTGGTTTATGTTATTTTGCTTCTTTTTTCATGTTTTGTTTCACTTCCTTTTTTTTCGAGTGTACTGCTGGTTCACCACCTTCATATTTTTTCTCACTACTACAAATGTTTTTTCATATTTCTTATCAAAATTAAAATAAAATAAACAAAATATATGTTAACCCAATCACCCATCCAGTTCATGAAGCTAAAGCATAACAATAATGGTATGAAAAACTTGACTTACATCCTGTCCCGCATAAACCCCGAGCTCTGAGTAGCTCAGCATCCACATTCAGCATATTATGCTGCTGAGAAACCCCAGCAACACCTACACTACCACCGCCACCAACTAAATTTTGCATTTGATTAGGTGGCAATGTGTTCCCATTTTGCTGCGGCAGTCCCCCTTGATTAGGAACTTGCCCGCCGAAATATGTGCCTGTACATTCATATTCTTCTTCTGCTTCTTCTATTCACAATAATACTACCGAATAACTCCCCACAACTATTTTCACAATACAGGATCACCCCACCCATTCACTCATTCTCTCTCAGTATTCACAAAATCTAAGATGCCCAAATACCTACACGTACAAGTAAAAAAATGATTAATGAACCTCAATTTGAAAGATACGATACAATTGCATCAATTGAGCAAGCAATTGATGTTAATTTGATTAGGGTTAGAAAATTGGGAAGTGGATCCTACGCTAATTGCGGGTAATTAAAATCGATTAAGTTAAACCCTAGCTTCTTAGGTCAAGTCGATTAAGAAATAGAAACAACCTGAATTGGGGATATTACAATCAGAGCAGAACCGATCGAAGGCCGTACGGTCGCAACCAATAACGACGATGATCGACGATTTAGTTGGGAAAAGTAAAATATAGATGAAGATATAGAAGAAAAAGATTAAGTCACCGCTTCAATCGCACGTGCCAAGAAATCCCGCACTGGTGAATTTACAAAACGGAGGCGACCAAGCAAGGAGAAGCTGATTATGGTTATGGCAATACGATTTTGAATCGATCGACACAGAGATGAAGAGGAAATATTTAGTCAAAAGCACAAGTCGAATTATATTAGGGATTCAAGGATTAATTATTTTTTCTCGCAAAATAAAATATATATTTAAATTTTTATAATTCTGTTTTAATTATTTATCTTCTATGTTACTGGTTTTGTTTATTATATTCTCCACTTTTATTTATTTATTTATATTATAATTTCTCTATATTAAAAACGAACTAAAGATAATACAATACTTGAAATTACAAAAGACCCGTCTCCCCCAAATTTAGTACATCTATATCATATATAGCTTTCTCCCTTATTTTTTATTTTTTTTTTTTTTTTTTTAACCCTTATCCTCCCAGTTCCCACTCCAATTTTGCGCTTTTTTTATTTATCAATCTTTTGGTATATATTTAATTTATAAGAATGTGATATTTTTATATCCAAAAATTCTCAATAAATAAAGGTAATGAAAAATTTATATAAAACTATGTTAAACAGAAATGATGCAAAAAAGAGATCAAAAATAATTCTTTTTTTACTCTGTAATTCAAACTATAAAATATTAAGAGAGGGATGATTAAACAATCCTATAATTTATTCATATTACTGATAAATTCTTAAAGGAATATCTTAGGATAAATTTGGACTTTAGAGTTGTTGTAGCTCTAATAATCGCTTATTTCTTAATAACAAAATTGTGTTGTGTTTGTTAACACATTTTAATAGTGATTACGAACAATTTACTCCTCATAATCTATTTTCACATATTTCTAGCTTTTAAAATTTTAAATCAGCTTTTTCAGAAAAGTCGATTGCTAATATACCCAAGATTAAACATAAATTCTAATTTTATTAAATATAAATTATAATTTTTGTATAAACAAATTTTAAAATTAAATTAATAAATTATTATATACACAACTAGTCGTTGGATTCAATGGAAAATATTTTTGTGATTAAGATTCATTGTTTGGCACCATTGGATCACTGATCAGCGATGTACACAATGGTGCCTGAGATTTAGAGATGGCAAGATTCCTCGAATTTTGGGACTCGCCCTGTCCCTGCTTCTTGCAGTTGAGGATTCCCCAATAGGCAGACGGAACGAGGACGATTTGATTCCCTGTCTCC